TTGTAATGTTATGCAATAAAGCAAATAATGCGAAGATCTGAAAGCAAGACGCCTTTTGAATAAACACTTGCTACTTGCAGCGCCTTGAAACCGGATAATGTTCCGTCAATTTTAGTTTAATCTTCTCATACTAACCGGTACACGCTCATTTTAATCCTTCAAACATTACTTCATTTACACTTCACTGAAGTTTTGATGAATTAAAAATTTCACGTTGAAAATATTGATGAAACGTTTATGCAGGCGTTCTTGTGGTACTTTAAGCTTTGTATTGACGTAATGTGAATGCAATTTTCTTGTACTTTTATGTCATGAAATTTTTAATTTAAAAATTTGTTACAATTATTATTAATATAGTCGTATTGGAACTGGTAATTACTTATTCTTTGTTGAGAATATTTATGAAATTTTTATGTGGTTGTTTTTGTCAAGGTTTAAGCTTTAAATTGATGTGACATAAGTGCCATTTTGTGATACTTTTATGTCATGAAAATTCGTTTGAACCTTTTGTATTAAAAAATGGAATATTTGATATTACACAAAATCATTGTCTTCTATAATTAACAATTATTTATTTTGTACGAAGAATATTATTGGTGGACACAAGTAGCTTTTTTTCTTGAAGTTTATACTTTAATTTGATGTAACATAAGCGCCATTTTGTGATACTTTTATGTCATGAATTTTATCTTAAACGTTTATGTTCAAAAATGAAATATTTGACATAACACGAAATCATTGTATTCAGTAATTAACAATTATTTATTTTTTGCAAAGTATATTAACGGTGGACACAAGTAGCTATTTATCTTGAGGTTTATACTTTAAATCCATATAACATAAGCGCCATTTTGTGATACTTTTATGTCATGAATTTTATTTTAAACCTTTACATTCAAAAATGAAATATTTGATATAACACAAAATCATTGTCTTCTATAAATAACAATTATTTATTTTCTACGAAGAATATTAACGGTGATCAGTAGCTATTTTTCTTGAAGTTTATATTTTAATTTGATGTAGCATAAGCACCATTTTACGACATTTTTATCTCATGAAATTCAGTTAGACTGTTTACCATCCAAAATCGAATATTTGATATCGTACAAAAACATTGATTTCTGCAACTGACAACCATTCATTTTGCGCGACGAATATAAATGGTTGATTTATACAGACGTTCCACGCAGAATTTAAGCTTTAAATTGATACGCCATAAGTAAAATTTTACGACACTTTTATGTCATGAAATTGCGTTAGACATTTCGAAATGCCTCATTTAGCAACGACTTAAGAATCTTTTCAAAAGTCATTAAAAAGGAAACGTTTCTTGCGGTCAGCTTTTGTGACTGTATACTTCAAAGACTATTAATAAGGGTCTAATGGCTGTTTATAGAAAGTCAAAAGGTACCGCAACACAGAGAAAAAATGAATAGTCATCCAATATTAATGCGTGAAAAACTTTTAATATGTCGATTGATAGCAATTATGATTATGATCCGTAGGATTTGCGTGTCGAGTTATTTTTGCGTACAGGAATAGAGACGAAGATGGTAACGAGCATACTGCAAATAAATCGTAAACCGGCAAAGAAATTATGGGTAAGAAGACGACCTTGACATATAAGCGTATACCACAGGCATTCTTAGAGACCGCCTACCCGCAGGCTAGAGAAGACGTAATATGCACGCCAAATTCAATTTTACTTTCATCCACGGCACTCGAAGATGAGACTCTATAAAAAAAAGTATCGTTGGGAAAGAGCACCAACGATTATTATTTACTCTCGCGTGCGAGCCTCTTGGAATTATAGTTGTAATCATCGTCGAAGGGACGCACGATTATTCGATGGTTAACGGTGCTTGAAATTCAGAAAAAAACTAGTTACATTTTGATGGATTTCATTATTATTGGATATTTATAGCTGCATGAAAATCTTTTTCGTTTTTCTTAGACTTTTTCTCAACAGCGTTTAATGAGACATCATTTATCATGACACGACTTTAATAATGGTTCGAGGATATTGCTTTTTAATAATAAAAATTTGATAATGCTGTTTTTTAACAACAGAATTTTGATAATGATGTTTTTAATAACATTAGTAATATTATTTTTGTAAAATAGAATTTTAATAATAAATTTTTATTAAAAATTTTAATAACAAAATTAATGTAACAAAAATGTGATAATGATAATTTCATAATGCTTGCATGATATTTTTTGTGGCAAAATTTTAATAATGATAATATTTTGGTAATATTATATTTTTTAATAACAGAGTTCTAATAAGCTTTATAATATTTTAAATAATATTTTTACAAAGTTATTTTGTATAATAGAATTCCAATAATATTTCTAATAGTATTTTAATAATTAGAATTAAATTATTTTTTTATAAGGAAGCTTGATAATATTTAAAACATTTGTAACGATTTAATAAGAGAATTTTAATATTTGGGATTTAACTCAAAATTTTAAACTAAGAATTATAATGCAAATTAGGAATAACAACCCAATAGTGGTCACTAATAACCCACAAGGTTGATGTGACCTTAAACACGCAAGAAAAAAAAATTTCAAATATAAAAAAAATTAAAATTAAACATTCACCTCTGTAATTATTCAAAATCTCAATTTTTCTTGAACTTATATAAAATTTAATAAATAATTTGAAATAGATAAATAATAGCATAGTTTAAAGTATAATAAAATAAAAAAAATATCCTTATTTATAAATAAAATAAATCAAACAAGACAAGTTTCCTTGAAATAAAACAATATTTTTAAAACAATATAAAATGCTTTCATTTTTATACAAACAAAGAAATAAAATGGAAAATAAAGCTAATAGCAGAAAAATAAACATCACTCAATCAACTGTACGATTTTTCCTCTTTTTGTTGCAGTTAAAAGAATTAAAAATAAACTGTGCAATCATCAAAGTGTTAACAGCAAACACAGGAATTCTATAGTTGATCAGCGAGTTTAAAAAAAAGCGAATTATTTTCTTTCAAATTTAGCAATAAAATTGATTTTATGGACGTAGTATGTATCTCCTTCTTTTTTACTGTAATTCTCTTATTTTTCGATATATCTTGTTTAATCGGCCATTTTATTCTTGTTCTCCCTCTGATTCACACATTTTCCAACACACACACACATTCTAATTCATCTTGCCTCCTTTACTCGTCTTCTTACCCACTCCTTGTTCGATTCTATCGGTCTGCATTCGTGGGGCTTTCATTCAAGCACGCATTCTTCAGGATGTAACCTTTCTGTAAATATAAAACCTCTATTGCAACAACCGTGTCGCGTATCGTACTTATAAGGCCGTTGGAAACGCATCACCTTGCCATCTGATATTTCAAATTTCCACGATGCTCTTCCTTTCGAAAACCCGACGGTAATTCTTGCATTTAATTCATTTTCGTTGTAAAATATTATTTCTGTAATATCTTAATTTCAGTTTTGGAAAATATTTTACTTTGGAATACTTTTTTGTGAAATATTTTGTGTTGCAATTTTTTATAGTGGAATGTTCAAATTTGAAATATTTTAATTTGCTAATTTTCCATCTTTAAATATTTCAATTAGGAAAATCTTGTTTTGAAATATTTTAATTCGGTAAAATTAAATTTTAAAATATAATGGAGAAAAGTTTAAAAAATTCAAAGAAAATTTAACAAAATTATTCCAATTTTGAATATGTTGAGAAAATTTACATTTTCAAATATTGTAACTTAGTTTATTTTAATTTGGGAAAATTGTATTGCAAAAATACTCTAATTTGGACTATTGTAGGTTCTTTTTCAGATAATGTAATTTTCATTGTTTTAATTTAAGAAAATTTTATTCAAAAATATTCTAATTTGTAATATTTCAATTTGCTAAATTTAAATTTGAAAAATTCTACTTGAAACTACTGTAATTTGTAATATTTCAGTTAGCACAATTTAAATTTGAAAAATTCGACTTGAAACTACTGTAATTTGTAATATTTCAATTTGCAAAATTTAAATTTGAAAAATTCTACTTGAAACTACTGTAATTTGTAATGTTTCAATTTGCAAAATTTAAATTTGAAAAGTTCTACTTAAAACTACTGTAATTTGTAACATTTCAATTTGCCAAATTTAAATTTGAAAAATTCTACTTGAAACTACAGTAATATTTCAATTTGCAAAATTTAAAATTGGATAATTTCATTTTAAAATATTCTAATTTGCAATAATTCTATTTTAAGATATTCTAATTTACAATAGTTCCATTTTGATATATTCTAGTTTACAAGAATTCCATTTTGAAACATTCTAATTGATAAAGAGTCCACTTCACAATATTCTAAACTAGATTATTTGAATCTGTAAATGTCCACGTTGAAATACTGTAATCCAAATAAATCTATTGTGAGATCCCATCATCAAACATCCGAATCTGAAACATCCAAACTTGGCGCATTTACGTAATTCCATTTTGAATCCCGCTATACACAGTGTTATTTTCGAACATCCTTTATTGTCATGACCCAGGGCAGGTTATATTTAGAATGTATTGCTGAGTCACGTTACAATCACAATAGAGCAATGAAATCATACACGACCTCTACAAGCTATCTCGTAATTACGATTTCGATACACCGCAACAAAAATACACTCAAGAAGTCTCAGTCTATAAAACTCCATAAAACTCCCGTAACGAAGATGTCACCCGCCACAAAATGGCTTCCGTCATTGCACGAGGAAGTTATAAAGGCAAGACATCCACGATGTACAAAGTAACAAAGAAAACGTTAAATTTGAGTGATTAAAGTGACGCAAGTTATATTTCAATACATCGTAACAAAAATAGATTCAAAATGTCCCAGTCTATAAAACTCCATAAAACTCCCGTAACGAAGATGTCACCCGTCACAAAATGGCTTCCGTCATTGCACGAGGAAATTGTAAAGGCAAGATATCAACGATGTACAATGTAACAAAGAAAACGGTGAATTTGAGTGGTTAAAGTGACGCAAGTTATATTTGATCACTTTATACGTGTTAGCTGTTCCCTCTGAAGACAAGTAATGCCCGAACTATTGCATCAGTGAAGTATTATACGTTTACATGCATGTACGTATAACCTTTTGGTGTATCCTCGTCTCTTAAATTTGAACGTTGCATTTAGTAAATATTTGCGTAATTTCGTTGGTGCGTGTGGCACATAAAAAGATGTGACTAAAATGTTCGTCGGTGCAATATATGCCAGTAACTAATGGAAAATGATGCTGTTCAACGCCGGTTAAGAAATATTGAATTTATTATTACGTCGTGGACTTAATAAAAAGCGAATGATCACGGGAAGGCTGTTCGTTTAAAACGATGACTTTGACAGTGGAACAGCATTTGTCACGGTGAAATAACGGGAGACACCGGATATGTTTAATCACCAATTAAAAAAGAATCTGTGCTTCGTTAGGACGACCAAAATTCACGAAGTTTGCATCGATGGTTCTGTTTATGTACCGATTTAATTGGAACTCTTTAGTGAAAACATTTCATGTTTTTGTAAAAATTACAGCATTCGTTGAAAATTAAATTAATGTTACAGTCTCTTGGATAGCAAATATTTTTTATATTTCTTGGATGTTAAATATATTTTCTGAATATCAAGAATATTAATAAAGTAGTCATTAATATGTTAAAAAAGTAATTGTCTATTATAACACAAATTTTGTGCAAATATCAGAACAAATGTTTTGGAGTACAATTTATGTGATTAATTAACTATTATCAATACATTGTATATTAAAAGTTTAGTTACTAATTTAGATGCGATGAAAAAATTATTACAAATTACAAATGTATTTGATAATTCCTTCAATTGTACTTATTAATTTAATTATTATTTCATTGAAGTTATTAACTTAAATTAGTTGTAATTTAATTGTACATATCAACTTAAATAAATTATAATTTAATTGTACATTTCAATTCTAATAAATTATGATTAAACTTGCAAATTATGTGTATGAACAAGGTATAGGAATTTCACATCCCAACCTAACCTAATCTGACTGAAATTAATGAAAACTGAATTACATATCAACTGAACTTAATTGTAATTCAATGACAAATATCAATATAAATTAATTACAATTCAATTGTATATATCAACTTCAATAAATTATAATTAAACTTGCAAATTATGTGCTTGAACAAGATATAAGAATTTCACATTCCAACCTAACCTAATCTGACTGAAATTAATGAAAACTGAATTACATATCAACTGAACTTAATTGTAATTCAATGACAAATATCAATATAAATTAATTACAATTCAATTGTATATATCAACTTCAATAAATTATGATTAAACTTGCAAATTATGTGTTTGAACAAGATATAAGAATTTCACATTCCAACCTAACCTAATCTGACTGAAATTAATGAAAACTGAATTACATATCAACTGAACTTAATTGTAATTCAATGACAAATATCAACATAAATTAATTACAATCTAATTGTATATATCAACTTCAATAAATTATGATTAAACTTGCAAATTATGTGTTTGAACAAGATATAAGAATTTCACATTCCAACCTAACCTAATCTGACTGAAATTAATGAAAACTGAATTACATATCAACTGAACTTAATTGTAATTCAATGACAAATATCAATATAAATTAATTACAATTCAATTGTATATATCAACTTAAATAAATTATAATTTAATTGTACATTTCAATTCTAATAAATTATGATTAAACTTGCAAATTATGTGTTTGAACAAGATATAAGAATTTCACATTCCAACCTAACCTAATCTGACTGAAATTAATGAAAACTGAATTACATATCAACTGAACTTAATTGTAATTCAATGACAAATATCAATATAAATTAATTACAATTCAATTGTATATATCAACTTCAATAAATTATAATTAAACTTGCAAATTATGTGCTTGAACAAGATATAAGAATTTCACATTCCAACCTAACCTAATCTGACTGAAATTAATGAAAACTGAATTACATATCAACTGAACTTAATTGTAATTTAATGACAAATATCAACATAAATTAATTACAATTTAATTGCACATATCAGCTCCAACTAATTATAATAAAACTTACAATTCAATTTGCATTTCAAGGAGATAGAATAATTTCACATCGAATTATTTTATGTAATATATTTGCAACACAGTGCAACGATCAAATTTATTGGATCGAACCGCTTGTTAGAAAGTTTCAATTAACTTCGTACGAAGGAACAAGACATAAAACCGTAGAAGAATATACAATGGCGGTTCGGTTTACCCCCATGAAGAATGCTCGATAAAACAGGACGCATTGAAAAGATGTTACCTAGTACTTTACTTTCACGAGTGATATTTATTAGCCGGGCTTTTTGTATGCATTGCTCATATTATGTAACCAGCTAATTAAATATCCAAACATATCGTCACAGACTTTCCCCTATATTTGACACACCGTTATCCGACATCTGGTGAACTCGGTGACTATTTGTTTTGCATGTTAACGTGCCAATTAGGGAATCGTGGCCATTCAATGATTTACGGTATTTATTATTTGCTTCTCTAGTCTTCGTGCGTGAAATTAAACCCAGTTGTGACAATGATTGCATGTCATTCTGCGTATTTTTAGAGGACTGTGTGATTTATTCATTTGAATATTGCGCTGTTAATGTTTGATGTATAATTATTATGATTTATACGTTTAGAATATCTGTACCTTATAGCAATTTAATGGTCTGTGTGTGGGTATTGTAGTATTAATATTTAGAGTAATATTGTTTGTCGGATTTCTATATTGAGATTTGAATATCACGAGAGAAACTTATATTTCAGTATCCTAAACTTTCAAGTTTCCAAAATTAAAAATTTTCGGGATTTCTAAGTTTCTGGATTTTCAGATTTTTGGATTTCTAGATTTCTGAATTTCTAAGTTTCTGGATTTCTACATTTTTGGATTTCTAGATTTCTAGATTTCTGGATTTCTGGATTTCTGGATTTCTGGATTTCTGGATTTCTGGATTTCTAGACTTCTAGATTCCGAAATTCCTAAATTCCTAAATTCCTAAATTCCTAAATTCCTAAATTCCTGAATTCCTGAACTCCTGAATCCCTGAGTTCCTGAATCCCTCAATTCCTGGATCCCTGAGTTCCTAAATTCCTAAATTCCGAAATTCCAAAATTCCTAAATTCCTAAATTCCTAAATTCCTAAATTCCTAAATTCCTAAATTCCTAAATGTTTAACTTTCCTGAATTAACATAATAATGCCCCACATATTACAAATAATATCAAATAAATAAAAATAAACAAAATTACACAAAGAAGTATTTTTAAAATACAAAAGTCTCGAAGTAAATATACATTTATAAATATTTGCACGATTATGATCTCATACAAATCAATATGTGTACGAGATAACAAATGACCATCAAGAAATCTAAATTGATGTATAAATAAATCGGTACAAGTACCATCAAGCAAATAAACAATCAGAAATACTCAAACAAAAAAATTGATTCAATTTATTACCATGATCAATCACATTGCATGTTACCAAACAACCAACACAAACCAAACGCATTTACAACCGGTAAATGAAAAATTCATACGTGACAGGTTAATGCGATTCAAAAGTGTATCTGCACAGAAGCTGAGGATGAAGAAGATTGTTCATAGATATCGATGACGTGCGTTAGTGAATCATGCAGAATCGCAACTGTCGCCTCAAACAGAGAACTTGACATTCTTAAGGAAAAGAGAATTTATTGCAGCCTGTCCTATTCCACGGATTTTCCATAAACGAAGAGGAGTATCTTCTTCTGGTGTATAACTCATCGTTGTTTGGGTGAACCGATCGAATGATTTATCGTTCGTGTTGTTCGAGTCCAGTAGGTTCTATAAGGAAAAATGAAAGGTCTTTTTTCTATTCTTAAGTGGCAATATGATTAATATACTGATTGCGACAGTAAAATTACTCACGTCCAGTTATGTCAAACGATAACGCACATATTTCATATCACGCGATCAGGGGTTCAAATTTGACGGATTAAAATTTCGCATTTTTCATATTCAAGGATGAAGACGTTTTCTGCTTTGTATTCGAGGATGAAGATCGTGTTTCGTATAGCGAGAGGAAAAATGATTTAACTTCACATTCAAGGAGGAAGGCGTTTTCTATTTCGTATTTGAGGATAAAGATTACGTAACGGCTATATAGCGAGTGGAAAAATGATTTAACTTCACATTCACGGACGAAGACGTTTTATGCTTTGTATTCGAGGATGACGATTGTGTTTCGGTCATATAGTGAGTGGAAAAATTATTTAACTTCACATTCAAGGACGAAGACGTTTTATGCTTTGTATTCGAGGATGACGATTGTGTTTCGGTCATATAGCGAGAGGAAAAATGATTTAACTTCACATTCAAGGACGAAGACGTTTTATGCTTTGTATTCGAGGATAACGATTGTGTTTCGGTCATATAGCGAGTGGAAAAATGATTTAACTTTACATTCAAGGACGAAGACGTTTTCTACTTTGTATTCGAGGATGAAAATTATGTTTCGGTCATATAGCGAGAGGAAAAATTGTTTAACTTCACATTCAAGGGCGAAGACGCTTTCTGTTCCATATTCGAAGATGCAGATTACGTAACGGCTATATAGCGAGTAGAAAAATTATTTAACTTCATATTCATGTACGAAGACGTTTTTTGTTTCATAATCGAGGATGAAGATCGCGTATCGGTCATATAGTGAGTGGAAAAATCATTTAACTTCACATTCAAGGACGAAGATACTTTCTGTTTCGTATTCGAGTATGAAGATCGTATATCGGTCATATAGCGAGTGGAAAAATACATATTTAACAGGATTATAATTTTTCATCGTTGACGTGTTATGTTGAGTATAAATTGCAAATGGATATGATGGAATCGAATAGAAATTTCTTTAAGCGTGTAGAGAAATATTATAATTGATATGCAATCGATTAAGTGGTTAATGATAAACAATCCTTAACATTCCAATAGGATTTTATTGATTAAATAGATGCGTGGCCATAGTTAGCCCAAGGTA